AAGCAAAGACAACTGAACTAGGCTAGCTGTTGAGGGGAGGTACAGTGGGTTTAGCTGTTGGTTTGTTTTGTTTTTTTTTTAAATGGGATCTTGAAAATCAATAGCGTATTCTATTACCCAAGTTTAAGCTTTAGTGGAAAGACAAATTAGGCTGTAAAGTCAATACAGCTGCTCTGTGCTCGTATTTCTGTAAGAATCATTAGGTTAGCATTCCTGAAGTATAGAACCAATGGTGAATAAATTAGATTGAAAGGCAACATGTTAAAACCCATGTAAGAAGATTCTTTTAAATGTACACGGCATGATGAAATTGTGAAATTCACTGCTACAGTGCAAGACTCTGAAACTTTCCACTTCAAAGTCAGAAAGGGTTTAAAGGTAGATGTGGTTAATGAGACCATCTAGTGGTTCAGTTAACAGGATGAAGAAAAGTCAAGTAATGTAAATGAGCTGACTGAATTGAGGGAGTTGTAAGAAACTTCCACCAAAGGTTTGTGTTATCCTTTCTGATGTTTCCTGCAACAACCTCTCAAACCTCTGGGTCTCCATTCTGACGCCCCATCTACCATTACACTTTTAATAGTACGCCTGTGGTTGGCGTTCAGAATACACCCAGTTTAAAAGCAATTTCACTTCTGAAGCTGTTTGACCTGGAGGGTACAATAAACGGTACTGATAAAGGCAGTGTTAGACATGACTTCAGACAAGACACCTGGCTAACCAGACCTTTTTCTCATCGGACATAGTAGGAGTTCCTAGTTGTTCCATTTTAACACAGTCTGGTGTTAATTTTCTGTGTCTTTCTATGTAATTTCTGACTCTAAGCAACTACCTCAGAAAAAGAGAAGTCCTTTTGTTTCAAAATTATTGGTAACAGACAAGTTCTAAAGAGAAAATTATTGGTCTGGGGTCTGAGTATTTTGTTACACTGTAAACCTGATCCCCCACTATTTTCTGAATCACTATCAACTATCACATTATTTCAGGTTGCCCTTAAGAGGAAAGGGGTGTAAATTTACCTGGGAATGGTAAGCCACTTAAGTAATTAAAAAAAAAAAATAAAATCCATAAGGAAGGATCAGTCAAATCAAAGATAGGTAATGAGAAATGACAAAAAAGTATGCTGTGTATTTTTTTTTTAATTGCATACACACAGTGTATGCACTTGTGCACACATGCACCTTTGGGTATGTATAGCTTGTAGTGTAGTTGATTATAAAGAATACAAAAGACATTCTGTTGTAAACTTTAAAGAATATTTAATAACTTTTTAAAAATAAAACGTATATTTTAAATTTTGTTCTTATACGAATGCACAAAAATGTATCATTGTAGTTGCAGTGACAAAATCCAAAGAACTGAGGAGACCTGCCCACTGTGGTAAGATACCTGTGACAATCTAGGAGAATTCACAATGGAATCCAAACAAAATTTCCCATGGTGAGTCCTGACTTGTTTTCGTACTGTGAATTGTCTAACTCTGTATCTGTGAAGATCATTCATGCTTAGCAAGGATCCTTAATAAAGAGTCTGGTTTCAAAATAAATGCCACAATCAGGTGCTGGTTTCTGTTGCTTACCTTCGGTGCCACATTTATAGCATAACAATGAAGCTAAGGGGTAAGTGAATGGCTTCAACTTTGTCCACACTAACAACCTCTGGCCCTATGGGGGTATGGGAGAAGAGGCAGCTGGGAGCCACGTGCACTGAAAGATGTAACCAGTTCTTAATTAGCTTGTGGGAAGTGAGGGGGTTGGGTGGATTCACATAACAGCCATATTGCTGATGCAAGATAAAATATTTTACAGCTTCGGTGCAATTCCTTCCTCTTTGTATTATAAATCATACAATGCTGCATTTGAATAGTAATTATTAAATGGAAGAATAAACCTTTGTGAGATCATATTATTTGAGGAGGAGCAAAGAAGTATTCACAGAACAGAAACTGGAGTGAATTTCAGTGATTGTGCACTCTGAGATGTGGAGCTAAATAATTCTGTTATATGAGGAATAAGATTTGGGTGCTACTGACAGTTACTGTACAGGAAAATAAACCATATTCTATTAAATATATATACGTGTATATATATATTATTATAATTGTGAAGATAAAAAAACCAGAACTATATTGGACTGAATCTAAAAGCTAAATCCTGATGTTGCTAAATTCAGTAGGTCCAGCTGTGCGCCCTGTGCCTTCGCATCTTGTTATTTAACAGAGAGCTATGAGTATAAATTAGGAGCACTCTCCTTCAATGTCTTTGTTGCCTTTGGTTCTGTCTTTTAAATGAAGTGTATTGAGTCCTCCTTCATGCTTAAAGATAAGAAGTGAAAATAATATAAAAGACTTTACTAAAAGTGACAAAACACTAATGGAAGCAATTGGAATGACTCCTGTGTTCTCTGCATATGTACAATATAAGCAGCCTTTAAATGGGTGTTATGTACTACAGAGTATTTAAAATTAACCAGTTCAACATGAAGTTTTATGCATAATATGGAACTATCTTTTTTTAGTTTTTAAAAAAAGATTCTCGCTGTTACCTAATACAAAATATTCTGACCTCGTCAGCAGAGAAAGGATGCAATGCTTTTAAAAAGAAAATATAAGTCTGAGGCTTGTTATATGCAGTATGTTCAGAAGTTTGAAATTGGATTGTGCTGGTAATACTTTAAGCACCATAACATCTGTTTGGCCTGTGTGAAGAGAGTTTAACATCAAATATAGAAAATAGTCCAGTTGTTCAAATTATAAACAAGTTGCAGTAGCATTTCAGTTGGCAGTGTAAACGTAGTGTTTAAGAAAAAGAATTACTAGCAGTAATGTGTGGTCCACTTATATTTGGGTGGTGGTTTTGGTTTTTTTCTTTCTTTCTTTTCAGCAGTTAGTGCCGTATGTTTCTGTTGCAGTGACTGGGATTTACAAAGTGAGTATTGCTTATACTCCCTGTAGATAGGCGGTTTTGAAAACCGAGGCAGTTTATCTTGTAGACATCTAAACTGTGGAAAATTTAGAGGGAACCAACAAGTATGACTTGTCTTTGGTCTCTGTTTCTCATTTTATTTCTTCTGTAGGTTCAGTTGAAGTCTAGCAGTCTAAGAGCTCAGCGCATAATACTGGGAGATTCACAGAATGAGGGTTTGTGATCTCTCTTCTCCCTACACCACCATCAGGCAAATTGATGAGTTGCCTTCCATGGGAGCTCTGGCACAATGGTTTGCTCTTATCAACTGAGGCAGTGTCAGCCTGCTGTGTCTGTGTTAATTTTTAATGGCAGGGATCACTACAAGTAGACGTGTCTGCCTTTTCTTAAAAAATCTATGTTCTGTTAATGTATTCATCACTCTCTTATGCTGCTTTTCAGTGGTGGAAACTGAGCTGTCAGCAGGACCACCTGTGTGTACAAACTATAAATCATGACAAGGACTACTGGCACATCTAACCTGCAATCATGTCTATGTAGAAAAGAAGGAAGAGTGGAAAGAGGAAAGGAAAGAACTTATACCATCTTTCCAAGAGTAGGACTGTTGACAGGTTACCTGGGCTCAGGAAGCAGAGAGCATTGAGACTGCGGTCATTGTAACACCAAGAGTAAGGCTCTTGCTTGGGGTACAGGTCACCTGTGTGTGGGCTACTCACTCAGTTTAACCTCTGTCTCGGGTCAAGGTCTATTAACATTCGTCAAGGCATGTTAGCATGGCAGTAAAATCCTTTAGTGGTGGTGAGGTTGGTGTGATAGTGATTAGAAAGCCACATAAAATGCACACAAGTAATACATTGCTTTCAATTTAGCATGGGGCATTAGCTGTGCAAGCTACAGAGGGTGATGCATAAAGGTGGGGGGGTAAGATTTTGGAAGATACTTGCTCTTTCACACACCGGACTGTCCTAAGCACTTCCCCACAAAACATGGAGTAGTTTGGGCCTGAGGGTGAGAAGACTGCAGGAAATCAGCTAAGAGGAAAAAAACCCAAACAATAAAACCTAAGCGGTGAGAGTAGTATTTGTCAATGGTGCAGGTCCAGAAAAGGGTTACTTAGGGGTGTTAAGGAGATTGTTCAATAGTCTGTGGGTTGGTGAGTCCAGCTTTACTGCTGGAAATTACCTTTAAATCAAAGTAAGCAAAATGTCATTTGCAGATTAGACCTGCTGTTATAAGCACAAAGGTACAGGGTAAACTTTTTTGCTTGAACTTGATGCATGCTTGTAGTCTGTCACAGTAGGAATGGCTGCATTGAGCTTTCTGGGAAAACAGAGCACCATGGTTTTGTCTCTGGTCTGTTGTCAGTGGCTGAGAGGTTCTCAAAGGCTGGCTGCAGAAGCAGGCCAGCTGCGTTGCTCTGTTTGCCAGTTCCCTGCTGTGTCCTTTCCCTGGTGTGCTTCAGCTTCTCCCTGTCACATGTGCATTATCTGGGGCTGCTTGCTGAGGGGGAATTGTTTGTTTGAACAGTAGGAAACAGCTGATTCTTAACCTCATCACTAGAAGGTGTGCACAGAAGGGTACTACATAAATTACTTCAGTTACCAACACAAGATGGGTAGATCTGACAACTGGTGGCTTTTTTTTTGTGGCTAAGGAAAGTTAGGATTTAGATTTCTGCAGGTTTCAGAAAGTGTGGGGCCAACAAGCCAGGCAGAGGGAGATGGGTCTGAAAAATAGAACTGAGAGGTGACTCCAGTTCTGACAAAGACTGATGTGTCTTGGCTTGAAAGCATGCAGCTGGGGTGGGGGGGAAGTGCTAAGCATAAAAAACATGTGAAGTCTTAATAACTCTCAGAAAAATAAGCAATGTGCAAAAGATTTTTTTCCTCAGCAAGGCAAACTCTCTCATACCTGCAGATGATGATATCCCAAAGTAAATTAATGAAATGGTGACATTCAGGGAAGGAACAGCTGACAGCTTTGTACAGATCTTCAAGTGTGGAAATGAGTGATATTTTTCTGGCAGACTAACTTGAAACAGGGATGATAAAAAAATAAAACTATAGTAGAATGACAGAGCCCACTCACAAGTTGTTTACTGAAATGAAGATACAGCTGAAAGTAATTACTTGTTTCCCAGAGGTATAAGTGATAGTGCCTCCTACAAGAAATAATACGCAGTTATTTCAGTTGGAATGTAAAATGGGATAGAAAGGTTCCCTCTTTCTGAGGTTAGATGCTGGGTATTTTCACCTCCTTGCAGAACAGTATGTGTATATGAATGTAATATATATATAACATATACAGTCAACCATCTATATGCCACTGGCAATTAATAAATGAGACAATGTCCAATGTTGTTTTCCCTTAACAGCCAGATCTCACTGTACAGATTCTGATTAAAAGCCTGACTTTGCAGTGCATAAGATTAAAAATACTCCTTTAAAATAACATATTTTTGAGGATGATCCTCTCCTGGCTACAAAATTATCTTGAGACACTTGGAGGCAGGGCTGCTTGATCTTGACATTTTAACTGTGTGCAAACTGTAGTAAAATTACAATTGCATTCAGTGCTAGCTATTCTGTACCGTCTTTCCATGCTGAAGAATACTCATTTTCTATGCCCTCTCTTCCAGACCATGAAATGCAGGAAGGCAACCTGGCAGCTTCCGCAGAGGTTGCCTCAGCACAAGCTTTTCCTGACATTGGTTTGCAGATCAGCCCCCCCATAAGCAGCCTCCATTGCCTTGCCATGGGCCATGGAAAAGGAACAATTGTTCTTCGGAGGTTTTCTTCTCTTTAAAGACAAGGCTGCTTCTTACCTGTGCCAGTTCAAGTACTCACTTTTTCTTTCCTTTTCTTCCTCCTTCAGTACAGTGGGGCAATTCACAAAATCTTCAGAAAGATAGCATTATACACAGTTTATAGTACAAAGGGGGGTGGGGGGGGAAGGTCAGACGAATGAGCATGAGGAGATTTCTCCTGTGTCCTTTGGAGGAGGAGCAGAAAGATTGGGAATGATATCTATGCACAGTAGGTGTCTGCCTTGACTACCTGACAATACATGGTCATTGCAAAGGTGAGTCCGAGAATCTAAGGGAAAAAAAAAAAACAAACAATAATTTTTCAGTAAATAAACCCTCCCCCCCAATTTATTGAAACAAAAGAAAGGGAGAAAAGCATGCTTACACTTGTTTTGTTCACACACAGGAAGACACATCACATACTGTTTTTTCTGCTGGCTCATCTCCTTGTTCTGTTCCTAGTTCCTGTCTGCCTTTTGTCCTTATCTGTATTGCTGTTTTACAGAATGAACAATAAGAGCACGGGAGAGTTGGTTTCTCCACAAGAAGCAGCCACCAGGTACTGGAAAGAGGTATATTGAAAAGAAATGCTTGGATGTCTTTTGATCAATAATATTTTATAACAGTAACCCTCAGCTGTGGGGTGGTGTGGTTATCTCTGTAGCCATTGCTTTGAAAGATAATTGGGTTCTTCCCTGACCCAAAGGATGCTGGGCTTTGCTTTACTGTACTTTACTTTTCCAAGCATATGTCCGCACAGGTCCCTGTGGCGGAATCACTGGCGACTGTCCATGCATTACACATAACCATCAATGCCTCATCAGCAATGTACGTGTCTTTCTACTCGGCCTATTCAAAAGCAGCAGCAGGGAGGTGGTGGTTCTCCAAGTCCAACTACTGACCTGCTGTGCTGCCTCTGGTAGAGTATGTCATCAGAAAAGTACTTCTGTGAAAGTTCTAAGTAGTCGTTACTATGCCTTTGCAACACCATTCTAAAATTTGTCATTGAAATGAATATTTGCCAGGTCAAGATTTTCTGTGTTAATTCTATTTGAAGCACTTAATTTGACCACTTCAAATTTAGTCTTTACATGAATAGCAGTTCCTGTTAATGAGTATTTTGAAAGAGTACATGAATAATGATATACTACTTTATAAATAAAGAAAAAAATGGTTATAAAACTGTTAGTGTCATTTCCCATTCTTCCACAGTTAAATAAGGCTTTAGTGTGCTGTTTTATAGTAAGCACGTGCCTTTTAGAAATACTTCCTGAATGCTGCCTTCTACTTCCTAGCAAAGGAACACCTTGAGGGGCAGCTGCATAATAAAACCTTTGTGGCTGAATTAATTTTGCAATTTCGAGCATGCATGATGAAGAAGATTCTTCTGCCACAGGTGCCGTATGCCCTTCAAGTTGTGTCACTGTATGATTCTAACTGTAAGATTGTCAACATGAAAACCAGGAGCTGCCACATGCTTAGGGCCAGAACAACATTGTAACAGCAACTATAGGGGGAGCCCAATTCATTTTAGGTGACTTTCATCATCAATTAGATTCCATCACATACTGCAGCTGGAAGACCGACCAAAAAGCTTTTGTTCTGAGGTGTTTTCTCTGTTTCACAACATTTACTAGGAATATTAGTTAGCATTTTTGTCTGAAGTGTTTTCTCCCATGCAAACTAGTAATTTCTTTCTCTCAGAAAGATAGTATTCTCTTAAATGCCCTAAATATAAACAAGGTCTATGGGAAGGAATCTGACATGGGCTGCTGGGGGGGCGGGGGGGTTAATGCATCTTTTAAAGACTCCCTAAATGTTGAATAGATGATTTAAAGCTGTTTTTAAAAATATGGTAATATATTAACAACAGTCTTACATTGTCTCTGCCATATGATCTTGTTGTGCTTATCTATTCTCCAATGCATATCTGCTAAGCACACTGGAAAACAAAACCCAAAACTTTACTGAATTTGGGCCTACAAGGAGTCAGGCATTTGTATTAATAAGTTGCAGCCAGTACATGACATATGAGAGAGTAAGACACATGCCATTCTGCCTAATTTGACATTAGTGAGCTTATGAGTGGAATTCTGATCCCTGGCTCTCTCTTGCTGCTGCTAGTGATACACCATGAAAAATTAAAAAAAAACCAGGAGTTAATTTGGAATTACATGGTATTAATTAGCTTAGCAATGCCATAGAAAGGTGGAGCTGGAAACTAAAGTTCTGTCTTCACTGCGTTCGGGAATGGGACTTCAGGCCATAAATGGAGGACTGACACGGCTGAAACAGCCTGAGCTCCAGCACAGCTTTCACCTGCATATCCTCAGGCTGAGGTTTGTGCCATTGGGGCTGCGTTATGGCCACAACCACAGCAAGCTGGGTTAAAGACACAGGTACCTAAGAATAAGAGAAAAGGTACTACATTGATGACTGATTTTTCTCTCATCGAAGTTATGGTGGGAATAACTGCAGGTCAAAATCTGCCAGCCTATGTCAGTCTTACCTAGTTTCCTTCCAATTAATAGAAAAGGAGCATGGTTTTATTTCAAGGTTGAGTAATGGTAACAACATCTCAAGTTGTAACTTACCTTAGGACTGAGAATGGGGGGTGAAGACTTACTCTACCTTTAGGCTATCTTAAAGTTAGATATTTAGTCTAAGCAGATGGTCCTCTCCAGAGAATTACTAGACAAATACAGGTACCTTAAAAGGCAATTCACCCTACTCTGACCAGGCTTCTGTCTTTGGAGGATGGGGACTACCTCTCCACTGAGTCCAGTCTAAGCCTTGGATAAAACACTGGGTAAAGTCCCTGCTCTTTGCAGTGCAGCACACAATAAAATGTGTGCAGTATTCCTTGTTCTGCACCTTGTACGTAGTATTTTAACTAAATTAAAACATAAAAGACAAATCTTGCAGAGTTTAACATCATGCAAAATTTGGAATTATTAAACAGGCTTGGGCAGAGTATATCTGGATCTATAGTTACTTATTTAGTTATGATTAATTAGGATTTGAAAAATTCATATTAAACTGTACCTGCACCATAGCTGTGCACAATCCAAAGATTCCCACTGCTAGTAAGTTTTCCTGAAGCCATATTTTCACTGTTTCGTAGCAAGGCTGGGGAAAAAAAAAAAGAGCCCAGAATATTGTATTAGCCATAAACACACAGCTCTATTCCTCTGAGAATATCCAGGCAGAAAAGAGACAGATCAGACTAAACTGCTAGGTAGGCTGGATGATTATTTCCACATTGGAGCAACTACTGTGTATTTCTGGGTTGAACATGGAGTACTATACAAAAAAAAAAAGTGCATCTCCAAAATGCAAAGCAAAAAATTGTGTTCCCATTTGTAAATGTACATGGCCAAGCATCATTCAGCCTTCAGTTAGTGGCATTCACATATGTATAAAGGAAAAACTACTAATGCCCACCAGAAGGCATGGTGTTAACCTGCACTGATCTTCTTCATATCCCAAATAAAATAGAAGAAATTTTAATTCCTTAAATTCAGAATTTGACATGGAGCTACTTGAAAGGTGGAAGGGCACCACGGTTGGTTGGAACTCAGCCTCTGCCACTGCCACTCCACATATATGAAATTTCACTAGAAAGTGGCTGAGGGAGTTTTACTCATCTTCACAAACCATGAGAATCAGCAAAACTTTATGATAATGCCACCTCATCAACTGGTATTACTGCCCCCCCCCCCAGTATTGCTTTACCTGTAATTAGCACAAAGAATTGCTGAGCTAATTTCAGACAAGGATTTAGGCTCTATCTGCTTGCTCTGGAAGGATCTTGCTGAGGACATAGTAGGGAAATTATCCCATGGAGTTTTGAATTTGATTACAGGCAAATGCAGAAACTTATTGCAAAAAAAAAAAAATATAGTGCTGCTGGCAATTCAGTGGAGCAGTTCCCACCCTCCTACTGTGCAGTGGAAGCCCCTGAACTAGGTTTCCTAGCAGAAGCAGAGCATGCCAGGCTCACACAGTCCTCTTACCTCACAACTGCCCCAGCCCCGATAAGCTACAGCTGCTGCTCCAGGGCTTGTGCTATGTGTGTGGCCGAGCAATTTGCCTTTGTCCCCATCTGACTCCAGTAGGTGGGACATTAAAAAGGACAATCCTGTCCTTTCATAGCTAGATCTAGCTAGACGCTGCTCCAGATCAGCATTCGAAGGTACTTGTCTGCAATATGAAACAGCAGCTCAGATTTGACTGAAAGGAAAACCTTCAGTGCGTTAAAAATAATTAAATTGACAGTTTCACTGGAGGTCAAAAGCCATAGCTCAACAGAAGCCTTCTGAAACCTTCTGATTAAAGATGAGTAAGTGTACAACATACCTTATCATCTGTATTACCCTGCAAATGACTAGCTGCTTGCCCTTTACCTGGGTTGCAAGGCAGCTGCTGAGCTGCTGCTGGAGAGCTACTCACCGCTTTCCACCAGGTCCCTGGGGAATGGAGTCCACAGTTCTCACTGAATTCTAAGCAGCAGGAGTCTGGCACCCGGGTTGTATTGTACACTTCAAACCAGTCAGTGTAGTTGGAGACTCCACAGCATCTGAACTGGAAAAAGAAGAATCAAGACGATACTGTAAGTATGACCTGTCACTGACTTCTGCTTGGTCTGAGTGCCTCCTGGAGATGGATGTTCAGCACATTTCAATTACACCAGCAGAGGCTTGAAATTTTAAAGAAATACAGTATTATTGCCTCAGTTTTACCCAAATAGACCCTTCCCCCACTCTTTTATATGCTTAAATATGGTCTTGTATGTAGCTAATGTTGATACAAGAAGGTAAAAAGGCACCTATTTGCAGTGGCAGGCCACTGCAGGAGCTGAAACAGGACAACCCCAGCCAAGTACTGAGGTTAAGAGTTGATGTGACTGAGCAGGATTGTAACAATCATTTGCAACTTGTTGCCAGGAAAAAATTATTTAAGATACAGCTACAGCACCCAAGAGATGAAGATACTGGGATCTCTACGGCACACTACTATTTCTGAAACCATGATTGAAGTTAACGAGGCAACTTTCTCTCTAAGAAGCTGTTAATTACTGATCACCTTTGACAGTTTTGTCAGTCAGTAAAAGATGTATTTCCTCCTCTTCTCTCTTTGGTGCAGTTCCTTAATGTCATCATCTGACGCTGCTAAACAGTAGTGCTTTAAGTGTCTGCATTAAGTGCCTGCATACAACGACACAGTGTACAATGCCTATGTTAGTGCTGAATTGGAAGGTTTGTTTGACTTCTTTGGTAGTGGGGTGAAAGGTATAGGAAATATACATAACAGTACAAGGAATGGCTCTGTGACCATCTCCCCCCCTCCAGGAACTGGTATATTCCTGTGATGATACAAAATAAGCTAAGCCTCATTACCTTATAGATGTATACACCATCTGTCACGCCTATGCTAAGGCAAAAGTATGAATTTGTCAGTATTTAGACACTTTACCACTAATGAGTAAAACAAGATAACACTGGGCTGCAGAACTGCTCTCAGCTATTGGCAGTACTTCACACTTCTTTCAAGGCTATGCCAGCCACCTACTTAGCCCCAAAATGACTTGCCAAGATCTTATTTTTGAAATGTTATTTTATATGAGCTTGTATGGTATTTTTCACATCCCTATAGAGACTATTCCTCTTGTTTCTGATAGACATATAATCATGCAGACATCTGGATCACCAGGAATGAGGATCTAATTCAGATCCTGATGTTTACATCTCCTGAGGGAGAGTTTTCCCTCTATATATGATAGTTGTAGAGTCTATGGGCAGAGAGGGATGAGTGTTCAGGTCTTGTTGTACACAAGATCTCCCATTCAAGACCAATAGAGGGCAGAGGTGTCATGCGCTGCTTTGCACATCATATGATGCTTCAAGCACTCACAGCAAGTAGTCTGTGATAGAGATGTTTCAGCGCTCACAGCACTGTTTTTCTTCTGCCAAGCCGAAGTCAGAAATCTTTCCTGGATTAACATCTGTCCCCCCAAGGTTCTGCTCGGAATTCTGATTTGTTCCATGGCAGGAATCAATCCTTAGCTTGCAACTGTTTTATTTGTGAGTTTACAGGCTTCATTTTCTACAAACTGACTGGAAAGTAAAAAAAAAAGTTTTGACTTTTTTTTCTTCTACATCCCTGCACACAAGACAGGAGCTCCACGCATAACAGGTCCCAAAAGCGGAAAGGAGCAGCATGGAAGACATGGCATGAATTTGAGGAAAGCAGGTTTATCTAGAAATCTAACAAGGTGGTCTTGCAGGCTGTCATCGTTAGAGTCAGGAGGCAGCTCTTTGATAGACAGTGAGAAGTGACAGCTTGTAAATAGCAAGCCTTGAAAATGTGGCTCATCTGTGATATAGAGAGTGCAACAGTAAGGGCTGAGACATTTGAGTGATGTTCTGGCCAAACACAAGTGACACAAGTTTGCATAAATCGGGACTAGACCCCCTTCACAGAATCACGGAATGGCAGGGGTTGGAAGGGACCTCTGGAGATCATCTAGTCTAGATGATCATCTAGATCATCACTCCCTGCTAGAGCAGGATCACCTAGAGCAGGTTGCAGAGGATTGCATCCAGGTGGGTTTTTAATATCTCCAGAGAAGGAGACTCCACAACCTCTCTGGGCAGCCCGTTCCAGTGCTCTGTCACGCTCAGGGTAAAGAAGTTTTTCCTCATGTTCAGATGGAAATTCCTGCATCCCAGTTTGTGCCTGTTGCCCCTTGTGCTGTCATTGGACATCACTGAAAAGAGTCTAGCCCTATCCTCCTGACACCCACCCTTTTGATATTTACAAGCATTGATAAGATCCCCTCTCAGTCTTCTCCAGGCTAAATGCTATTACATGGCTGAGGGTCAAAGTCTGACAGACTAAGGAGAAGTAGTACAGGTTTTGTGGTTAAGAGCTCACCAGCAGGTTGAGGTTTGCTGTTCCTATGGAGCCTGTGAAGCAGAAGGTGGCTAGGCCATGATCTAGGTTTGGGACTCCAAAGAGTAAAACTTCCTGGTAAGCCAGAAGGTGGAAGTAGGAGGGGATGCAGTGGCAAAGACAAGCTGCAGTTGAACACACATTGCCTGCCCAGGTAGAGCCTCTGGGTATTGTACAAGAGCAGAGGATTAAATATTGATACTTGCCTGCCACCGCTGGCAGACAAGACCATCCCAGCAATGGGAGAAAGGGCTAAAAAAAGATCAAGGGTAAAAATAATGAAGTAGCATGAGGCTCAATAGTCTTGGGACTAGAAGAAATAATGTCTGGAACTGTAATTGGAAGAGATGTCATGGCTTTGGAAGACAAAGGAAGGATAAGCACAATCCTGAAGGAGAGAAGGTGACAAACACACGAGTACTAACACCACAGAGACCAGAGAGTGCACGAGCAAGTGAGCGAGCAATGTTCAATGCAGACCAAGTCCAGTGAGCAGCATCTCTAGAGAGCAGAGGCACTGACCATGGCAGTAGGTCAAAGAGGCAAGAACAAGGAAACAAGCAGCAATGGGATTGAATGGGTCACCGGTATAGATACAGCAAAGAGATCCTGCTAGATGCCAAAAAGATGGATAGGCTGAGAGCTCAGTAAATTCAGAGACTTCATTATGGAGGCCCAAGTAGAGAAGAGAGAGTGTGGGAGTGGTTTTTGGGTCATGTGAAAAGCAACTGATTTATCCTGTGTGCATGAAGCTGAACGATAAGTAGCCAAATTGTTGACAGAGATGAGTGACTATTAGAAGAAAGGGGAATATTGAGGACAAAGAGCAAAATAAGAGGATTTTTTCAGAGTCCTCTTAGCTTTGAGAACAATGTTCTCTTTTTAAAATTTAGAAAGTTTCTGAGCAAGGATAATTGGACACAGTCCTATACTTGGAGGATGGAGAAAGCTCAGGTCACATGAAGGATAATTTCTGTCACCAGCAGTTTGTTGTAGTCAGTTATACCGGACTTCATGTTCTTCCACAAAGGCTGATGTTCTGCCAGTGCCAGAATGTTAAACTGCCATTAAGCAATTGCAGACTTGTTTTTTTGCTACAACCACGTTCATTTTTTGATCACATTTACAGTTCTATCATCTTGTTCCCCTCACTAGTTAAGTGATAAAATTAGACAAAGTTACCTAATTGATTAGTTCTATTCCTAGTTTCAACAGGGAATAATCCACTTATATTTTTTAGAAACAATTACAAACTAATAGTGCTTATTTTGGGGTACCCAGACTAACACACTTTAAAAGGGGATAATCTGTAGAAAATGTCAGCTACTGTCTTGAATAGCAGTAACTTTAAGACACCTTGACTTGGACATCTCAGGTCAGTTGATTTTAGGTTTGCAGCTGTGAAGGAACATGCATGATTAAATTCAAGTGTGCCTGCCCACATGAACAAATGCCAGTACTTATGGCATGAGGTGACAATTGGGTAGTACTTCTGGGGCACTCATACAGTGTTTGGCAGAGTTGCTCAAACAAGCCAAAGCTTGTCAATGCCTCTGAGTATCTTAAGTTCCTGCTGCTGAACATTTCCAGGAATACTGACAATACACTGCTGTTTGTTTCACGTGTTTCATGTGAGAGGCTCTGTCTCCCGAAATGTCAACACACATTTTTCCCCTCCTTTGTTAGAGAGACATAAATCACTCCCCTATCAATTACCTGTGGGCTTCTGAAGCAGCTTGTCAGTTCCCAAGAGCTCAGGACACGCAGGGGCTGCTCAACGCGACAATGCAGTCAAAGGTTGTGCTGCTGAGGAGTGCTTTTCCCAGCCGAGCAGCACCAAACAGCACTGAGGGCTCTGTGCTGTATTTGTGGAATGCAAACCTGCTTGCAAACAGCTTAATTTTTGTGCTAACAAGTAATTGCTGCTCTAGCATGGGGTATCTAGGGCTGGTAATTAATGTTAAACACAAAGTTTCTATCAATGCAATAAAAATGTTAAGGCGTTGGATTCTTGTATGTATTTTATAGGCAATCCTGGTATTGAAGGCTAAGTACGCCTTATTTTCTTTGCCAAATTCCTGCAAAATCAGCCAGGCTGAGATAGCGTTCATGAAAATAAACAGGCACCCAATCCTTGCGGCAGACAGGTTTTAGCAATTCCTGGTTTTCCAGTTTTGTGAATGCAACAGAGAACTAGGGACAGGGTAGGGTGCATTTTATACACCTTTTTCCTCCACTGTAAAAAGTGGTGAATAAGATAGTTTTATTCTAAAATCACGTTTAATGGGTGGGTTGGATTACTTCAGCAATAATCCTAAAGTATAGTTTGATCTAACAGAATCAATGACTGGGGTAGATGGAGATGGGTCAAATTTTATTCTTAGTTACAGTGATCTAAATAGACATGAAAGGCATTACACAGCAGTAAAAGTGAGCTGAATTTGCTCACTTTAGTGAAGCTAATGCGTTTTCTGCATGCCTCTCGAATTACTGCATGGTTAGTTAAAAGGAGAAGTGTTCAAATATTGATCACAAAGATGTTGGGGATGAAGCAACATTTTAAAAATTAATGCCTATTTCTCATTTCCTAATGATCTCCACCTGTAACTTTAACCAGTCCTGGTTGGTAAGGAGTGTAATGCAGTTCAGCATAACTTACATCCTAAAGAATTAGAATTTCAGTCATGTTTAAAATCACTTTGTACACTTTCATATTCTTCAGTCATGACACACAAAAGCCACCTGCTTGTGTTTCTGATCCTTCTAAGGTTTGAAACACCATTGAGAAAGCCTGTGAGTTCAGTTAGCTGAAGGTATTAAGAAGAAATCAATAAAATATTCTAATTTGAAACAGTTCCCTGACCTAGAGGCTCAATATGATTGCAAAATGAGTCTAGTGCTTTTCCTCTAACGTGTTGCACGTATGCAGCTCAACCCAACTCCTTTATCAGTAATCTGAACAGAGCAGTCATGGACCAAAACTACAAGTTCCTCCTTAAAGATAGGCCTGACAGACCCTGTTTTTAACTTGTCCCCAGTTACTTAGGAATTGTATGCTTCTGTTAAAAGGAGGAAAACCATTTCCGAAGGCACGAAGGCTTCAGAGAAGAAAGCCCCTGAAAAAGGTGCTCAGGCCTTTCACACCTGAAGAAGAAATACAGTAATCACCACTCACAAGTCACTGTGTGTGCACTGGGTATCCATTCTCCCAGCCAAAACTCCTCTCTGATTTGTGATCAGCCAGTCCTACAGAAATGAAATACCATCTAAATGTCATTCTGTTTCTGGAAAAACATTTTTTCCCCTTCTTTAAGCAGACGTTGCCATACACTGTTGTATTTAATGAACTCAGGGCAGGGATGGTCTCTAAGCTAATAGTAAGAGAGAGATGAAGAACTATGTTAGAGCTTAGATCTCTCATGTCTGAGCCTACTACTTTACCCACGGTGCCATCCTTCTGCTCAAGCTCTGAAAAATACTTTTGCAAAGAAAGGAGTGAGACTGCGGAGAGGGTAAGGGAGAAGGACTCATCATGATTTCTGCTACTGTCATGTTTTTCACGTCATGCTTTCTTCTGAGGCTGCTGTTTTCCATCCATGTACAGACATGGTTCATAGCTCAACCAATGACTGATGTCTGCTGGCCCCATTAGAAAAATCAGTGCTGAGACATTGTCCTATATGGCAACATGGTTAGCTCTAATGTGGGGGTTGTTTGAGAGCTGTCTCTTAGGAGTCAGAATGCAAACAGCAAGCCTGGGCTGGGACTTTCCTTTCAGAAAGTCCCCTGTATTGCTCTAATCCTCCTATCATTGATTACACTCTACTGATTAGGGATGTAAAGGATAATGATTATTACTGAACACAAAAAATAACACTTGGCATTTACATAGCGCTATTCAACTGCAAAGTGTTTTAGATAATTAACCATGCTGGGATTGCCTTCTCTGCACCACTGCAATACTCTATTCCTAAATAATTTTGAAAGATACATGTGAAAACCAATTATGCAGAGTGGTAAAAATGGATCTGTGGGAGCTCTTTGCTTTTCTTTTTAGTGTCCAGCACAAGGAGCACAGAGATTTGAACGCTACGGTATTGTCAAGACAGTGCATGGTAATTTCATAGTTGCCATGTTAGAAAAGACAGTGAGGTAACATGACTGTACCTGGCTTGCAAGATGGCACTTTCCTATCATCTTTTGGGGTCCTAAGACCTAGCTAACATTAGTTTCATCTGAAACTTGTAAGATGCTCTTTAATAGGTTTCAAGGCCAAAGGAATTAAGACAATCGAGCATGATCTGTAGCACTACACAGGCCAGAGGCTATTGAGTCCTGTCTCAAATCCAACCTTGTTACTGAAGACAACCATTTCTTTTAGACAAAAAGCCCTGTCTTTACTTTCGAGAAAAAGAATCCACATTCCTG